CCGTACCCCGCCACCAACTTACGAAGTGTCATCAATTCTAAGTATGAGTCGCCGTGAATCCATCACCAATCAAAGAGATCGATCCGCGTCTCCAACCCGAAGAACTCCCAGCAGAAGAGACGAAACTATCAATCGAGATAATGCGAATAATACAAATAATGCGGGTGGAAATTCAAGCAATAACACAAATAATACGGGCGGGAATTTAAATAATGCGACATACTCATCGCCATCTGAGTTAGCAAATATGATCTCAAAACTTAATACATCTACATCACGGAATAACAGTGATCATAGTATGGCCGATGTTGAAGATAGTCAGCCACCTCAAGTAGAACCTATAAATGAGGAGAGAGATTTGTGAAGCAGGATGTTAATACGTCTAGATTTCGTCTGAAAAAGTAATAAAATTTATTGTTTGTTTACATTTTTTGTTATATGACAATCTAATAAAAACCACATGCTTGAAAAATCGATCAACATATCACATATTTTATCACGGAATAAATTGAACTTTTCATGCATGATGTAATCGTGAAACCAAATACATTTCTCACATATACCCCATTTACCGTTTTTCGCTTTTTCCTTGTGTACCATTCATATATAGCTCAAAATGTCTATTACTTTATTCTGTCTTGTCAAAGGAAACACGACCGCGAATGCTTTCGAAGTTGATATTGAGAAGGACAAGTCTATTAGCAAACTCAAGGAGGCTATAAAAGCGAAAAATACGCAGGCTTTTGCTAATGTCGACGCCAAAGATCTCAAGCTGTGGAAGGTGGAAATTCCTGACGATCAGGATTCCGAGTTGGCCAACCCCACATTAGATGTCGAACTCCTCGCAACAAAAAAGATTTCGAAATACTTTCCTGCCACGCCAGCCGAAGAATGTATTCATGTAATCGTTGGGTTGCCACGTAAGTATTGAGAACTGCAAATTTTCCGTATCCGTAATATTTATTCATGTGCGTATTTATTTTTCTAGTTCTCAGCCTGTATGAGGCGTTGTCGTATGTTACGCCACGTATTAACTATGCTTTGAACGCTTCTACCTCAACGTCGTCTACAAATGCGGTTAGTACTCCCCCGACAGAAGTAGCGCTTTGGGATCGCTTTTTCGACGAGGTGGACCAGTTTCCTTTCGATCGACAAGAAGCGAAATTTCAAAAACCGCAATTTGGAAATTATGATAACGTACGCAATGAAGAGGATCTTCGCGAGGCTTTCTCAGTCAATATTTGTCATGTATTAAATAATCTCATAGGGCCAGAGTACGAATTTTCCAGATGGCAAGATCATAATCCAGGCATACCAGATTTCAACTGCACCTACGTCGCACAACTGATATTGTGTATTGAGAATAAAAGGGCACTCGTTATCCGTGATATTGGCGGAAGAACCTTTCCGGAATATTATCAATCGAGCCTGAAAGCAAGGACGGTGACTCAGCAGGTTTATAACTATATGTGTGACAAGCAACTTCAATACGGTGTCCTCTCCACCTATGAAGATCACTGGTTTCTGCGTCGGCCGGATGAGACCCCAACAAAGCTTTTTATTTCACCAGCTCTTTCATCGCAATCGGAATCTCCAACGGTACTCAAAGCTTACGCATATTTAGCTATGCGAGCAAGAGCTAGCCCTCCTTCTCCCCACCCTGATATAATTATGGTACCAGTCGATGAAGATTCGGAAGTTATGACGCAAAGTAAAAAAAGATACGTTACTCGATCAATGACTAGGAAGGAAGAAAAAAAACCAACTCAGCAACCATCTCCCTACGCCTTGGCAAATCAGCAGAATTTTAGCTTTGCGGACTTCAAGTTTAAGGATCTACTAGGCCAAGGAAGAAGTGGAAAGACACTCTTATGCGAATTCCGTGGAGAAAAAATTGCCTTAAAGACTGCCGATCTATACAAAACCCCACCAAATATCTTGAAAGAAATGCAGAAAGAAGCCCAAATCTATAAAGAAGATCTTAAGGATATTCAAGGGAAGTACATTCCAAGATTGGTATGTGATGGCTACTATGGAGGCGGATGGTGCTATATCTTTGGTACAACTTTTGTTGGTACGCACTTAAGTAATGATAAGAAGATAACGACACAACAAAAGTCTCAGGCTCTTAAGGCACTAAAAGAAATTCACAAACGCGGTGTACTCCACAATGACATCCGGGAGGAGAATATTTTACTT